CTTTACCCAAAGAATTTAGAAATTATCTATTTGATTATTCGCTTTAATACAAATCAATATTTACGTTCTGACTACTACGCTGTTCACGATCGACTAATTGTTCCGAAATCTGACTCTGACTGTGCCACCGTTCGGCTTGAACGATCGACTCCTCGGTTTGAGGCGTTTACGCGTCGCGGACAAATTGTCGGCTTGACGAATCTATCAGGTCGGTTTGACCTCGCAATCGCGTACCGTGTTTCGCAGAATAGATTTTTCTTGAACCGACTCGATTCGCTTCCAGACGTAGAGTGCCTAATTTGATCCTCGCATCGACCTCCTTCGATCGCTATCGAGTGGGGATCGATGCGCACGCATAATTAGTGAAAGTGGGGTAAATACTCTACCCGTAACCCCATGAAATCATGATCACGACGTATGAGCGGAGTAGGGATACCCCATACCGCGGCAATACATAAACTGATATATAATGTGTTCTTATATTATGTAACCAGCACGGTTACAGGGTATGAAACAACCCCCAAAGCGTGAGAGTAAAATGGAAAAATTGCGATATCTTTGAGATCGATGAAGCAATTTTGATAATTTTTGGTATGAAAGTATCTTTTGATAGAGGACAAAAATTGGCATAGGTATGTTGTAAGGGGAATGAAAATTAGGGGATGAAATACCCCTAAAATGACCAATTTCTTGGTGCAAAAAAATCATTTTTGATCTGATCGAAATAAAATCTAGTAAAACTTCAAGAGGAAAGTTAATTAGGGAACACGTATTTTTTTTCCCATAAATATTTAGGCTGTAAACAACTCCTAAATTACCGCGCTTGTTTGGCACTCAAACGCTTCTTCCGCGTTCGTGAGGATTCGGACATCCACCCTACAGTCCATCCCTCCTGATGGTAAGTCTGTCCATCTGAAATCAACCACGGTTAGCTAACGATCTCAGGATGTTGATCCCGACAATTAAAATCTTGTATTATCCCAGGTAATCTCGGTGGAAAGCGGCGAGACTTCTTTGATGTATACCCCTATAATATTGTCATCATATCGGCATCCCAGTCGATCGGTTGTAAAACACCTTACAAGGGACATCACCTAAACATTACATGCTTTATCGTATCCTGTTCGTAAATCTAATAGTAAAATATTATTTTCTGATGAATTTGAAAAAATGCTGATACTAACAATTGTTTTTGTTTAATTTGCCTGATGGCGATACTCCAACTGTATCGTCGAAATCTTTCCAACATGGAGAAATTTCGTGTTTCAAAAGAATGGATGAATTTGATTGAGGAGAAAGGTAAATAAAAATTATTTAGACGTAATTGAGCCTCAAAAAATTATGATAGTTTATTGGTTCGAATGATTTGAAAAAGCCTTGCGGCATAAAAAACCCCTTGCACAATATGTATTTGTTTGTTAGCGCCAATTGTTATTGTTTGACCTGAGGAGAACAGGGTCTCGCTCAATGTGGTTTGATTTGAGGAGAACAGAATCTCGCTCAATGTTGTATGATTTGAGGAGAACAGAGTCTTGCTCAATGTTGTATGACTCGTGTGATAATCCACGTTGCGTGATATTATTCACGGTGATCTATTCGAGGAGGATAGGGTCTCACTCGAATAGTGTTGCGATGTATGATCTTTACCACCCTACATATGGCCTGTTCGAGGAGTGTAGGGTCTCACCCGAGCAGTGTGTAATGTATGATTCGTACCATCCTACATATGGCCCATTCGAGGAGTGCAGGGTCCCGCTCGAATGGTGGCATCAAATTCGTCAGATTCAATAGAGTCCGAAATGGCAACCAATAACCTTGATCTAAGCGATATACACAACGCGGTAGAAGAAGTAGCTAGAGAAACTAGAAGTAGTAGACACCCATCGGTTACAACTGACGATGAGGACATTCTGACACCTAAAGAAGCTATTGAAGTAATACGAGACTTTGACGGAAAATTACAAAATGTAGAATCATTTATAGCTGAAATCGACGAAGTAAGAAGACTAGTACCACGTGAGAAACAAAACTACTTCCTCCGTCTAATAAAAGCGAAAAGAATAGTAGGAACGGTAGCGCGCGAAATGGAAGCGTACACCACTGATAGCGCGAAATGGAAGCGTACAATACGTATAATGAATTCTTCGAGGCACTTCGATTAATGTACGTCAGTACGCAACCTGTCGAAGTATGGCAAAATAGTAGGTCGCGATGTTTTCAAAGACGAAACGAAACTGTAACGCAATACGCAAATCGATTTTTGGAAATCCAAAATAAAGTACTAAGCTGTACGGTAAATTCAGAAGAATCGGTAGAGAACAAAAGAGCATACGCCGAATACGAGAGGAAACAGGGTCTCCGACAATTCATATTAGGGCTACGAACAGAATACGCGACCGAAGTAAGAGCACAAGCCCCTAAAAACATCCGGCAGGTAATCGCGATCGCGCAAACTTCCGAATCGCAACAAATGACCCGCGAAACGATGTTGCGCCAACTCGAACCACAAAGTCATAGGAGAAATATATCACGAAACGCTATTAATAACAGGGACCGTAAAGATAGACCTACCGACAGACGCGATATACAGACTTGCACCTATTGTAAAAGGCTAGGACACTTAGAACAAGAATGTAGAACCAAAAAATACGCAAAATTTTCGCAACACTCAATACCCAAAACCACCCGATCGAGTTCACGACATCCAGACGAACCCAGACACCCCGCTAGAATACACACTATTGGAGACGGAAAAAGAATAATCAGATTAAAATTCGACGAAATGATCCAACCGGCCTCATTCCTAATCAATTCTGGAGCTTCGGTGAGTCTTTTAAAAAGAAAATTCTTCTCTCCCCAAAAAACACTGATAGCAAAAAACAGCTCCATTAAAGTACAAGGAGCCGCGCATGAGATATTAAGTACATTATTTCACGCACTAACTCATTATAAAGGTAAACAACACGTGGTCCATATAGTACCTAACGATTTCCCTATAGCTGACGATGGAATTTTAGGATTAGATTTTTTTAAATCACACGGAATTCAGTGGGAATTAGGCAATGACAAAGAAAAATTAACATTAGCAGGGGACGAATACGTTTTACGGCCGGCAACATTAGCCTACATAAAACCCAGTTCCATTCAAACAATCACGGTGCATACTGACATTCCAGAAGGAGACGCAATAATCGACGAATTAAACGCATTAGTTAACATAAAGAATAATACGGCACGCGTGGCTATTAGCAATCGCCAAGATAGAGAAATCCGAATACCGGATAAGGTATACAGTTGCGAAAGATACCGAACGGAAACAATTTTTGCGACTCAAGTAGTAGGAAACCGTCAAAGACGTCTCGAAATTCTATCAGAGAACACGCGCCTGTCCCATATCGCAGACAAACGCGAAAAAAGAGAGCTTTGGGATATTATAAGCGAATACGACGATATCTTTACACTTCCGGGAGACTACCTTCCACCAATCGAGCTGGCTCAGCACAATATTTACACTACCGACGAAATTCCTATTAATGTAAAGCAATACCGATATCCGCCAGTCCACAAAGAAGAAATTGAGAAACAGATGCTAGAATTATTAGAAAAAGGTATTATTCAACCCAGCGATTCGCCTTATAATTTTCCCCTTTGGGTAGTACCTAAGAAAAAAGACGCGAGCGGTAGAACAAAATGGAGAATAGTGGTGGACTATCGAAAATTAAACGAAAAGACACAAAAGGACGCGTATCCCTTGCCAAACACGGACGAAATTTTAGATCAGTTAGGAAACGCGAGATATTTCTCAGCATTCGATCTTACATCCAGATTTCATCAAGTACCAATGAATCCGGAACATTCACGGAAAACCGCGT